TAGAGTCAGAGCAGGGAGGGAAGGGGGATGCAGGCACATCCCACAGCCCAAAGAAGGGTTTCTCACAACAAACACACCACCCTCCAATTTTTACAAGCCCTGGTAGTCCCACCAAAGCCACAACAAGACCTCCACCTCCCACCTCCGCTTCTCAACCTCAACTGAGGTCAGCACCCACCAGCAGGACACACAGAGCCCCATTGGCAGCTGTACAGCACACAGGTGGACATCGAGGTTTGGAAGAGCTGAACATCTCCCAAGTGTCCTGTGTTGTCAGTGCATGGTGCCTGGAGGTCAGATTTAATCCCACAAGACATGTGGTGGTGGGCATGGATTATCTGTGCACCCTGATATGTCCCCCACCACCACCTCCTCCCCAGATAAACAGAGCAGCACCCAAGCCCAAGGAGCAGTCCCCACCTTGCTGTTCTACAAAACACCTTATGCTGCAAGAAACCCCACGTGGGGCAGAGTGGGGCAGACAGGGGAAGCAGCACGACTGTCACAAGGGTTTTCAAAGCCACACTGGAGAATCAGATGAAATTCAAGATCTCCTGAAGACATTAGCCAGAGAAGAGTATGAATGAGCCAGCTCTGGACACACCACTGGGCAAACAGGTGACAACAACAGCATCTGCTGAGCCTAAGACACATTTCTCATGAGCTTTGGCTACACACCTGAGTCTCAAGCACTGCCAGGTGCTATGGAACAGCCACGTGAGCTGCAGCAGAGAAGGGTTTCCAGCAATTTTTGTGAATTTAATAAGAAGAAAGCAGTCGTGATGAAAGCCACCCTGCCCACGTACAAATGAGAGAGACATCAGGAAGAACAGGATCAGACCAGCCTCTAGCGAGACCCAGTACCAGCTGCTCCCAAAGAAGATGCAAGAAATCATTCTGGACAGTTCAGGAATCATTTGCTTATCGGTAAATCTCTTCCTAAGCCTTTCAGACAGTGATTAAGCACAATGGTTCATATCCCATATATTAAATATTAATCCATCCTAATGTGACTGCCGATGTTCCAGTTATCTGAATCGGATAACCGCACACCCCCAACAGCCTGTTCCCTTTCCACCCCAAACCACGTAAACACAATGTACAAAACCCAGCAGTACCTTGTGATCCAGCCAGAGGAGAGCTGCTGATACTCCCCCTCGGCCTCCAAGCCTGGAAGCAAAACAGCTGGATCTCACCCAAAAGTAGGGAGGAAAGAGTTAAGAGCAGGGAGGTGAATCAGCCCACTGCTATAAACGAGGACATTTCCTACCTCTTTGCTCTAGTGTTTCTTCCTGTCTGCAGGCTTTGGAGATACTTATGGATCTGGTCGCATTCAAATGATTTCCAGCACGACAGGAAAACCCGGGGATATTTTTTTTTTTACTTCAAGAGGAAAATGTGATTTGTGAATGAGACCAGAAAGCAGCCGTGAGAGCTGAGCTCCTTCTCATGTAACACTGAGAATAAAACACCAGCCAGCAGCTCCTGCATCTGCTGTACTGCTCCTGACCCCAGGGAAGGGTATGGGAGCTCTGTTCTACCTGAAATAACCTGCCCCACGCTCCCCAGCACTTGGAGGCATCCACAGACCATGACAGCACAACCGTGGCTCAGCACCACGTTACCCAAAGGGGTGACACCAGGGGTGAGACAGTTCCCACTGGATTGGGATCTGCTGTCCTGCTGCGAACACAGAGGGTTGGAGGAGAACAGATGTAGGTCGGCGGCGGGAGGAGACAGGGAGAGAGGGAACTCAAACTACTCTTCCACAAGGATGTTGATGTTGGACCCAGACCAATATCAAGGATCCGCACAAGGCATCGGTTATTTGAGAGTGACATTTCAGAAAAGCAGAGCTATGTATCCTATTAGCTGGAAAACAATACAGCCACACCAATGCCAGGACAGCAATGCCCCTGGAAACGGGAAACATCTATTTTCAGCACCTCCCAGTATCCCCCCACTGCTTCAACAAACTGTTTTTATAAAGATCAGGCAAACGCCCTGGAGATTCCCACAGACCCCCCCCCCAAAAAAAAAAAAAGCTCTCCTACAGGGATGGAGGGGGAATACAACAATGCCCATTTTCTGCCCAGCACAGATCCCAAGTCTCTTGCACAGCACCTCCAGATCCTAGTGAAGATTCGATCCATGCTTCCTCCAAAAACATCCCAGCTTTTCACCTGGGCCACCACAAAGTCATCAGGGGAGCTGGCAGAGCTGTGACCATCCCCAGGCTGCTTGCCCCAGAGCCCCGCACAGAGCCAGTTTCCCAAGCCCACCACGGAAATCAAGGGATGAGTCTGCATTTGATTCTTGACAGGGAGAGACATAAATCCTTGCAAACCCAGCAGCTCCCTGCACCAGCCACCTCCTTCCTTGCCACCAGCTGCTGCAGCAACAGGAATTAAAAGAGAGATGAAAAACTCCCGTTGAGGCTACAGCTTTATTTGCCTGCACCTCTTCCACTTCTTGTCCTCGTGCGAGAGAGTAAAAATCCCTAAATATTTTTCAAAGCATCCCAGCAAGATCCCCTCAGCCAGGCAGAGAAGGGATGACTAATTTTTTTTAGCATAATGGGCTGCTGAGAGTGTCCTGTGAACGAGCAAAGTAAATTCCTGAGGCTCTGGGCTCTCCTTGCGAAACTTCCCAGCTGGAACCTCGAAGCCAAAAAGCCAAAACCCCATCGTTTTTCCCCTCATCCAACAAACAGGGGCTGGGATTCCTTTCACGACAGTATTTGGATTTTAATGTCAGTCCATATTTAGCAGGAGGAAAAAAAGCCTCCCTTCCTTCCTGTCACATTTTCCACCCTCGATGACATCCAAGATCAGAAATAAGCAAGTGCTGGCCGAGGAGGGAGGACACATCTACCCAGGCGTGGGAGAGCCCGGAGTGTGGCAGCCTGTCCCTTCCCATCTGGGATGTGTGGAGACACCAGTGAGGAGGGGACACGGCCCTTGGACATCTCAGCAACAAGGGGACACGGTCCTCAGACACGGAAAGGAGTGGACACAGCCTTCAGGCCTTGAGGCAAGGAGGGGTCGTGTTCCTCAGGCCTCGGGGTGAGGAGGGGGACGTGACCCTCGTGGCAAAGAGGGGCCACAGCCCTCAGGTCCCGTGGCAAGGAGGGGACATGGTCCTCAGACTTTGAGGCAAGGAAGGGACACGTCCCTCGGCCCTCACAGTCAGGGGGGGTGTCCCTTTCAAAGCTGCAGCTTGGAGCATCTCCCCAAGGGATTGGCCAGGGGCCAGGCCATGAGCCTACGAGGCAGGAGGACCCCAGCAAAAAGAAGATGCACGTCCCCAGCACAGGCCAAAAGCTGCTGAGGAGGCCGTGGGTCAGGGTGTGGGTCAGGGTGTGGGTCAGGGTGTGGGTCAGGCCGTAGGTTTCTCACTCATGGGGGGAATATCCAGCACTGAACCACAGCACCCACAGAGCCCAGTGACCCTGCAGCAGGGTGAGACAAGCCGTGGTGGGGAGGGGGCAGCTGGGG